GAGATCCCATATATCGTATGATACTATACGATATTTACATATCATCCTCTAATACTCCCCCTCAAGTTGGAGCATGAAGATCACGAATGCCCAACTTGCGCCTAAGATATGTGAATTGTGACGATTCCAGAGCCTTTGTAAAGATGTCCGCGAGTTTCTCTGTGGTCCGTAGATGAGAGGTAGCCAGAGAGCCATTCTGCATTTCATCCCGTATGAAATGACAATCCGATTCAATATGCTTTGTTCTTTCATGGAACACTGGATTTGCAGCGATGTACAGAGCTGCTTTGTTGTCACAAAACATACGCATTGCTTGACCATGAGATATGCCAAAGCCTGACAAGAGTTCCTTTATCCATTTAAGTTCCTTAGTTGTAAAACTCATCGATCTGTATTCTGCCTCTGCGGAGCTCAACGACACCACATCCTGTTTTTTCGTTTTCTATGCTATAGGTGAATCTCCTAACATCACGATAAAACCATTTAAAGACCGTCTAGTCGTTGGACACGCCGCCCAGTCCGAGTCGCAGTAAGCTTTGATTTGTAAATCAGACTCTGCACTCAATAAGATTCCTTGTCCCGGACGACCTTTTAAATATCTCACCACTCTGATCACTGCGTCCCAATGCTTCGTACGAGGAGACTGCATAAACTGAGCCAGCATATGTACCGCATATGCTAATTCTGGCAGTGTGTGTGTGAGATACACCAACCTACCCACAAGTCTCCTGTATCTTTCTGGATCATTAAAGAAATCTCCTTCATCCTTTCCGAGCTGATGATTATGTTCCATCGGTGTAGTCACCGGCTTGCCTCCTAACAATCCACACTCCTTAACAATATCCAAAACATATTTTCTCTGCGACAAATACATCCCTTCGCTTGATCTCGCTACTTCTATACCCAAAAAATATTTCAAAAATCCCAAGTCTTTCATGTAGAAACATTTACTTAAGTACCCCTTGAACTTTGTTATAGCCTCAGGTTCGTTTCCTCCAATCAACAAGTCATCCACATAAATCAGAACATATAATCTCATAGATCCACGTACCAAAGTAAACAAGGAGTAATCTTTCCTGTTCTGAGTGAAGCCATACCCGCGAAGAGCTGCCGTGAGCTTAGAGAACCAGCATCTCGGAGACTGACGGAGACCATATAATGGCTTCTTCAGTCTACACACTTTTGACTTGTCGTCCGACCCAAACCCGGGAGGTAACTTCATATACACCTCTTCTTCAAGATCTCCGTGTAAAAAGGCATTGTGTACATCCATCTGGTGAATCTCCCATCCTTTAACAACCGCCACTTTAAGAAACATCCGAACCGTTGTCATTTTTACTACCGGGGCGAAGGTTTCATCGTAATCCAAGCCCTCTTCTTGTCTGTTTCCATATGCAACTAATCTCGCCTTAAACCTCTCAACCTCACCATTAGATTTATACTTGACCGTGAAAACCCAACGACACCCAATTGCCTTTTTATCTGGTGGTAGTTCCACAATATCCCATGTGTTATTTGCTTCTAAAGCAGTAACTTCTCCACTCACAGCCTCTCTCCATAGCTTGTCTTTCATTGCTTCTCGGAATGAGGCTGGTTCACATACCTCCATGATCGCCGCGAGAAACAATCTGTGGGATGGTGAGAACTTATCACAGTTTACATAATTTGAAATGGGATACAGAACCATACCTCGGTGAGAAGACGATGGTGGAGTAGATGAGAGTGGGGGAGAGTCTTCATGACACTGAGTCGTGTATAACACGTAATTCTGAAGTCGTGTGGACTGCTTGCGCTCTCGATGGCCTCTTCCCAGTGGGGCTGTATCAACCCCTACGTTATCATTACCATGCTCCACTGTAGGTACCGACGTCTCCTCACCCTGCTCCACTGTAGGTATCGACGCATCATCACCATGCTCCACTGTATTTTCTTCATGAGCCTCATGTGCATGATTTGGTACGACAGTTTTCTCCTCCATGTCGTCCTCTAGATCACTATCTCCAGTCCTCTCTATGGCAAATTCATCACTATAATCTACTTGTTGCTGCGTTCGTCTTTCTACTACCGGTGTATCCATTTGCTTGCTCGTGAGAAAAGGAAACACCGTCTCTTGAAAACTACATCTCTTGATACAAAAAATTCTTTCTTTTCAATATCATAGACTCTCCACCCTTTTTGACCAAATGGATAACCCATAAATATGCACCTTATGCTTCTTTCTCCAAACTTGTCTTTATCACGCATCACCTTCCTTGCAAAACACAAGGTTCCGAACACTCTTATCGAGCCAAAATCTGGTGTCTTCTCATACAACATCTCAAATGGTGTCTTCCCATTTAGAATCATCGTCGGTGTTCTATTGATTAGATGGCAAGCAGTAAGAACACATTCCCCCCAGAACTTAATAGGAACTCCGGCTTGAAACATCAGAGATCTTGCAACATTTAAAATATGTCTATGTTTCCTCTCTACGCGTCCATTTTGTTGAGGAGTGTACACACATGATGTCTGATGCAAAATTCCTTCAGAGAGAAAATAAGGCTTCATACACATAAATTCTCAGCCGTTGTCGCTGCGTACCACTTTAACCTTTTTTCCAAATTGACGTTCCACCATCTTAAAGAACTCTTTGAGACTCGTCGCTACATCTCTCTTTTCAAGTAGTAGATAGACCCATACTGCCCTTGAATGATCATCAACAATCGTCAAAAAATATGCGGCACCAGAGGTTGATAGAGTTTGATAGGCACCCCCATATATCACAGTGTATCAAATCAAAAATTCCAGCAGCTTTATTAATACTTTCATGAAACGAATCACGGGTTTGTTTAGCCCTTAAGCAAATGTCACAAACAATCTCAGGACTCAACGGTCGTCCAACACTCAACTGACTCGATAAATATGAAATAACACGACTAGAAGGATGACCCATACGCCGATGCCATAAATCCCATGATTCCACGCTCACAGCCTTATGTATCTTTGTGCCGATCACTCCTCTGAACATGTAGACTCCCCCACACTCTTCACCCGCTCCAATCACCGTCTTCATAATACGGTCCTGCAACACACATAACTCATCAGTAAATGTAATAGAACCCTTGCACACTTTTAACAATTTCGCAACAGAAATCAACGAGCAATTTAGCTCTTTAGAAAAAAGTACTCCTCGTAGCCACAACTCGCCACCCAAGCACAGGTCTCCTTGCTTGGTAGCTACTGCATTATCTCCATCAGGTAAACCAATCATGCACATCGGGATATCAGTCACATTGCATAAATAATCGAGATTCCCAGTCATGTGGTGTGAAGCACCCGAATCAATAATAAATTCCCCATATTCTGTCTTACCACTGAGTTTTTCGTTTGGCTCTCCTTTTAGAGCAGAGAGGAAGGACAGAAGAGCTGTCCACTGATCATCGCTGAGCTGAGGTAGAGACTGACGATCATACTCCCCCTCTTTCCTTGTCGCATGGACTGCAGCTGATGTTGCAGAGCCTGCAACTTGTGTTACTTGCGCTGTGTTACCTCTCACATATGATCCTCTGCCTCCTCCACGTCCTAAAGCTCCGCCACCACGACCAACTCTTCCTCCTCTTCCAAATCTCCCTCTGCCTCTGTCATTGAAGTCACGTCCTCTCTCGCCCCAATGTTCTGGATACCCATTGAGTTGAAAGCAATCAGATTTTGGGTGACCGATCTTACCACAGTAAGTACATGTAGTATCTTTCTCCCGGTGATGCATTGACCTTCCCGCATTCACTGCAAATCCCACTGCTTCCGTGGGGGTGTCTCTGTTTCTGTTCATAGATTGTTGTCTCTCTTCACGGATTATTCTCTGATACACTTGCGTGAGTTTAGGGAGTGGTTCGATGCTGGTGATTGTCGAACGCACTGTCCCAAACCTTGCATTGTCCAAACCATTGAGAAACGTGTTTGTTCTCTCCTCATTCCTATCTTCCTCCAGAGCCTTCGCTATCTCACCACAGCTACAACTCCGAATCGGTTTGTATACAGCCAATTCATCCCACATCTTCTTCAATCTTCCGAAATACACCGTCACAGAGTCTCCGTTCTGACGGAAGTTTGCGATATCAGCTCTAAGCTCACTAATTCGCGGCCCATTTCCTGCTGAGAATTGTAGCTTCAGATCTTCCCAAAGCTCTTGCGCCTCATCCACCATCGAGATTGAAGTTCTCAGAGTTGGCTCGATGGTGTTCATTATCCATGCTACCAGCATAGAATTAACTACCTCCCATTGCTCGATCTCTTCCTCCTTCTCTGGTTTCTTCAAGACTCCATCAATGAATCCCAATTTTCTCTTCGTTCTCAAGGCATTCCGCACATGTTTCGCCCAATCTTCATAGTTTTCTCCTTTCAGCTGAACCGAGGTAATGAGATTTCCTGGTCCATCTGAGGGATGGAGGTAATACGGTGATGACCTCGCTTTCTCTACCGCTGAACTGATCCCGCCTTCCGCGTTTTTCAGTGTACTGCCGCCTTCCGCGATCGTACGTTCCTCTTCTTGTGATTCCTTACCCGCCATTATCTTCTTCTTTCAACACTTCACGTTCTTCTCTGTATTTTTTTTAGGATCGCTCTGATACCATGACAAAGAGTGAATAGAATGGCATGAGCCGCTTATTTCATTAGCCTCCGTTTATATACACGTACATGTTTCACGTTAACCCTAAATACAAGAAAGGAAAGTTGACATAATCCTAGAGATCCCATATATCGTATGATACTATACGATATTTACATATCATCCTCTAATATAACAACCAAGTAATATATACATATATCTTTAGTCCACCACAACAGCATCTTCAAACTCTCAATTACCAACTAATATTATACATAATACATCATTGTTGGTATATCATAACGTCTCCAAACTTAAAATGGTCAACTCCAGCGCTTGCCGCCAGCGTTTAGGACAATCAAGTCGCAGATCGGAGAAAAAATGCACGAGGGAAAGGGGAGTTTATTCAAAGGCCTCAGCCATTTCGTTTTAAGCGACTATGAGCTTCGTATTTCACTTCATCTGAATCAATATCAGAAAATGACGAATAATCAGCATCCTTATTCCTCATGCTTAAGCTTCTGCCACAGCCGCTTAAGTGGCGTCCAGTCTTTAGGATGGCTCGCCATCCGATTTCACAAGGCAGTTTGATGCAGCACCACAGAATGCAAAGAGGACAACAGACGCATAAGCAGCAAACGTTAAACGCCACTTCGGACGGACCAGTTAAAGCTGCGTTTGCGTTTGTGACTACGATTTGAGACCTTGTAGGCGAAGCTGAGATCGGTTTTCTTGCTCGATTTTCTTCTTTCATTCCTCCTTGTAGTAGACTTCTGTGGTCGTTCATGTCGTTCTTGAAGAGAAAACTCAAAGATTTCTGATCGTTTTAAATGTTAGTGAGTTCTTTCTTGATGGGGACGGTTCTCGTTATTTTATTGGTTTCTTAATTGATACTTTCTTCTGTCGCTTTACAAACTATATAAAATTGCAGACGGTTTCGTGGAAAGACTGACGAACAGCTGACATAAATAAAAGCTATCTTATAATATATACATTTAAGTCTCGTCTATTGATATACATTTTTGAATCATTCAAAATTAGAGATGACGATTGGGCTTTCCCGTCCTGTCCCAGACGGCTACGGATTCGTATTTTAACGGGAAGCAGCGGGTCTATTTTGTGTGAGATGCGGTCTTGAAAATAGATATCAAATCTCGTACGACATGTGATAATACACGCATCAGAACGATTCAGACCACTCCAAAATGCTTCAGGCCAGTCTAAGACATAGTTCAAGTCGTCGATTCAACGGGACATAATTCATAAATCATTGTTTTACTTATTTTTTTTATTCAAAACAAATTGTAAATATTTGTATCACACCCAAAACATATTAACATACAAAGTAAAAATAACTGTAGAAGATATTTTTCATTATCTTATAACTCATAAGTTCACAACCAATGTTTTAGTTTGCTAAATCAAAAAGTTAAATAAAACGAAACACCAAATCAAAAATGTCAATTCCAAATTAAATAAAAACAGAAACCAAATCAAAACATTACTAAAGCTCGAATCGTCATTGCCGGAGCTCGAATCATTATCACCGAAGCTCGAACCATTATCACCGAAGCTCGAATCATCATCATCGCCCGAGCTCCTTACGTTTTCTCAGAGGAAGTCACATGAATCGTCTTCTTCTCACTCATTCTCTCATTTTTTCACGTAAAAAAAAAATTTAGAAAAAAATGCGGATCCTTGTATTCCTGCGGGACCCGTTTCGGCCTATCCCGTAAAAAGCCCAGTCCTGCAAAGATCCATCCCGCGAGGCCTGCAAATTTTCGGACTTGAAAACCTCATCCCAATACCGTCCCGTGACCGTTATTTATGTGCTAGGCTTGCGGTCCAGATCCGTGATTGCCATCTCTATTCAAAACCCTTGAATTGAACTTTATAATTATATAAACATTTATTACTAAAACTAGGGTCTTTCTCCGTGCTACGCGCGGATTATCTACTATAGAGTTTTCTTTGTTTTGTTTTTATAATCTGTTTAAGTATAATGAAGTTTTATATGTTATTTGACAAAAACAAATCATTAAATTGATATAAAAAAACACAATCGTTCATATTTAAAGTTCGCAGATACCATTTTATTTATCAAAGATCTTTTTATTTTGTTAATAAATGCATGGCTATGTGAGTAAATTTTATTCTATCACACAATTTTTGGATGGGTTTAAAATTTTTCTTTTGCATTTGAGCAGGTTGTTATGTTTTTGATTAGCTATATTAATAAATATTATAAATTTAATTGTTTTGTGTTTGGTGTTTTATCTTCTCCATACATTACACAATTACTTGTGTGCTTAGCCTAACAATTTCACATCATATAGTTATATAGTATTATTTATTTACTAACTACATATATCTTGTTTAAATTAATTGTTCTAGATATATATTTCTATTTGGTATCTGAAATTTTAAAATATACACGTCAAGATGTTCCATTTAGAAACATACGCTAACATATAGAACTAATACAACATTTTATCTAAAAATAAAGATAATAAGATATTTGAAATAAGCACGTACAATAAATGGTAAACAAAGACGACCTAATATTTAGTTTAAAGATAAACACAGAAACACTAATAAGAAGACAAAACATGACTTGCAATTTAAAAGCAAGCACGGCCTGTAATTTCAACACTAACACTAATAAGCAGAGGAAGCATGGCTGCAATTTTTTTTTTAAAAAGACGATCAGTAATTTGGAAATAAACACAAAAAATTAATTTAAAAACAAACAAAAAAAAGCCAACACAAATAAGCATAAAAAACATGTAACTTAAAAAAAAATCCGATCCACAATTTGAAAACAAAAATGAATTCGAGTTTAAAAGAAACACGACCTGTTATTTAATTTAAAAACAAACACTAATAGTCATACTAAACACAACGTGTTATTTAAAAAAAACGAACTCTATAAATTTAAACAAACATGATAGATAGAGCAACATGAGGGTGTGGTAAATAAAACAAACAACTAAGCAGTGTAGTTTTTCTTACAGAAAAACCACAATGAAATCTCAAAATAATAAAAAGTAACAAAAATATTACTGATGTGACGACACTGATTTACCTCCAACTCTTTTCGGATACGTGGTTGTCACCAAGAGTGAGGAAAGGGTACTTTCACTTATGTTTAACTTCCGCACCTCTGTCCCACATGATACATTTAAAATTGTTTCCCGTGCAGATGGTGATATTTACACTGTTATAAGGATTATGCATTACATCTGAAGAAGAGTTCTAAACTGAAATAGTCAATTAACACTTGAAGTGATAAGAAACAAAACCTTTTGCGATAATAATTAACAATATAAAGGGAAAATATACAATAGAGAGAACCTCACAGAATATTCTTGTCTTAGTTATCGGAATGGCCTACAAAAACTTCCAATACTCAGCTACTAAGCCTTGAACTTTCTGGTTCTGAAGTCCATGAAAACCATCTGCTCTGGCTGAAACCAAAAGCAGAGAGTTAGTCACGTTATTATTAGTTATAGAAAATTCAGAAGAAAATCAAAAGTTTTACCATGGTGGTATGTTCCTTCTTCTCGATCCCTTAACCATTGGTTGTTGCTGGAGGAACAAATAAAGAGAAGACAATATGAGTTTTATGAAAATGGAAATTCTAAAATCAATCTCTAGATTGTAGACATGTAATCCAAAGCTCCATGGAGATGAAAGTGTGAGAGAGAATTGAAATTTTAATATATGAATGTCCTAACCTTTTCAAAAACAACTGGAACAGCCGAGGATAGCTTCGGCCAAGATGTTGGTTAGCCACGTAGGTCAGCCGACAGGATCCTGTTGTGAGAATGATAATGTTGCAATTGGTAAAGAAAATATCATCGAATGAGAGATAGTGGAGAAGACGAAGATGGAAGAGGAGGAGGAGAATCAGGGGCTTTATGGATTAGGCGATTTGGAATGTATTTGTTGAACTGAATTAGGAAGAGGAACAGTAGGAGGTGAAACGAAATCATCAAAAAGGATTTAAGAACAGAAGTAATATTGAGATTAAGTCATGATTATTTCAGAGAAAAAAGAGTGATTTGCAGGGAGTGGAAGCGCCAAAGTCGATCATCACCATCGGTAACATCAAAGAAGGCCAGAGTTGACGAAGTGGATTTTAGATGGGTCATTGATGAAAATAATGAGCCCAAAGGAATGACCCTTTTAAGATCCGGTCGATAGAAGCTTATGTGACATCAGTGGTGAACCCATAATGATTTTAAACATGGGCTAAAAATGGGCCTTAAAATTTTAAATAATCAGGGGCTTTATGGATTAGACAATTTGAGATTTATTTTTTGAGCTGAATTGGGAAGAGAAACGATGGGAGGTGACATTTAATTTGCCTAATCCACCTTAGAAGTTCTAATTATTCACGAAAATATCATTTTTTCCGAAAAAGAGTGTTTTACTCTCTCATCATCATCTTCATCAATTAATCACAAAAATGTCACTGCCATCAATTCACCCAACAACCATGAACAACCAAAATGAAGCTCTTAATGCATTCTTATGTCTTATGCCCAAAAACTACATCTCTCTAGCTTTCAAGCTATAATCATCCAAAAAAATCCAAACTTTTTAATTCTAAAGTTTTTTAAGCGTCATATAGCCATTCAAGCTCATGATTTCTGGTCATTAACGATTAAGTAGTTGTTCTGGTGAAGTTGTGTATGCTTGGAGAACTAAGCAAGATCTATCAGTGGTTGTTGAAGGTATGAATTAATTTTTTCCCCAGATTTTTTCCCTAGAAGACTTAAGTGTAAGTCTTCGTAAGTCTTCTCAGACGAGAACACTTCCACGGAAGTCTTCTGGTCAAAGAATTGGTTAATTTTGCAATTGAAGTTTTGTGTGTTTTTTTAAAGAAGACTGTCGTGGAAGTTTTCAAATTTTCTTTGTTGACAAAAAGAATTTGAGAAGGCTTACCTGGAAGACTTACCTGGAAGTCTTTTCAGATAAACATGTTAGTTTTTCAATTGACCAATATTTGTTAGAAATTTGACTTTCTACGGATGATTTCCAGGTAAGTCTTCCGGCGGAAGACTTACCTGGAAGTCTTCTCAACCTTTACATTAAGTCTAGTGAAGTCTGCGTAGGTTACTTTTGCACATTTTATTAAAATTGGGAGACTTCCAGGTAAGTCTTCTACCCGAAGAATTACTTGGAAGTGTTCCAGATGAGTCTTCTGCTGGAAGACTTACATGGAAGTCTTCTAGATTTGTATTCTGTGATTCTCGTCAAACCTAAGGTAATCAAAGAAAATTAACCTATAAGTCTTCTATCAGAAGACTTCTCAACAAAAGTTAAATATAGTCAATTGCAAAAGTAACTTACGCTGACTTCTGTAGATTTAATGTAAAGGTTAAGAAAAATTTCAAGTAAGTCATCCATAGAAAGTCAAATTTCTGACACAGATTGGTCAATTGCAAAACTAACATATTTATCCGAGAAGACTTCCAGGTAAGTCTTCTCAGGTATTTTCGAAAAAAATTGTATTACAAACGAAAGCCAATATTTACAAAGGAATACTTCCAGAGAAGTCTCATATAGAGGAAACTTCTCTAAAAGTCTTCATTTACAAATTTTCAATTGCAAAAATGACCTAATTGAAGAATTATCTAGAAGTCTTCCGGCAAAAGACTTACTTGAAAGTCTTCTCCGAAAGACTTTCAGGCTAGTCTTGTAAGACAATATATAATAATACTACAACATAGTTATCAAACCCTAAACCAAATAATATCATGACAAACTTATATTCACTCA